GTCACACAATTCAAGGAAGCCGGTCAGCGGTACCGCACTACTGTGATGTCTTCGGCACACAATAGGATGGCTTGCCTCTGCCACAGAATCAACAGGCCCAAGGCCCGCCGTCTTAGCCTTGCAGCATAAAACACAAGGATAAAATTGCTGGGTGTGTTTTGGGCGTTGTGTATCAGATACCAATATTGTGAGGGGCAGTGTATATGGGCCAGATGTGTGAATGACCCTGCCCGTGAGCATGTGGCTGCCACGCGAGCCAGCCTGTCTGGCCACCTCGCCATTCACTGTAGCATATGCCTCTGTTCCCCGGTATTGCATTATGTTAAGATTCTCGCAAATACAATGACAGAACAAGCAGAGAACTGCATGAAGCATATGAAATTTGGGAAAAGGGAAAAAAGCGTGTGAGTGAGGCATCAATCGCCCTACAAAAATGCTTTGCGCCAATGTGATGGTGACTAGCCTGACCAGTGGACTTTATATAGTAAATGTTCAAACTAGCCTTATTACCCTCTTTACTATTAGCTAGCTCTCTTCATCAAACACTTCCTTACCACCAGCATGTCACGGCCATTCGTGCACATGCGCTCATCTAAAAGGCATTCATATGGATGTAATGACCGTATTTGGTTCTATTTTTGTTTCAGATAACCTTTGGAGACATTGCGCTTCCTGAAGCGCAGTTGAAGCATGTGGACACGAAGCAGCCATCCATTTACGTTCAGGAACTCGCGGTCATGGTATTTGGAACTGAGGCCCTGACAAACTGCTGCCTTACTGGGTCGGCAATGAAGGGAAAGCTTCCTAAAAAGGGAGTTAAGGACTTGATAGGTGAGTAAATTGCCGTAAAAAAGAAATGGCAAGGCACTATTGCAATCAAACTTAACAGGAACAAATGCCAAGTCTACTCTTGACATATATTGGACTTAAATCTTGGACAAAAGCTCACCAGACAGAAGCTCACCGGTCAAAAGCTCACCACGTGAAAATTTCATGTTGGTCTTAACACGAGTGCAGACAACTTAGGTGCATGCGTGCAAGACTACAACACAACAATGAATTAAATCTGATAGGCACATGGTTTGTTGATAAGACTGGAAACAAGTTTATCGATTGGTTAGAAGGAAATGCAGTCTGGTACAGGCTGCCTCCAGCAGTCTTGGTAGATCTCGGTGTACCTGGAGCCCCTTGCAAATATTTTCCAGACGGTTGTGGCCGTCCCTGAGTCAACCCAGATTGATCTTATCAGCTTCAGCTCCACTCAGTTTGGTGACCTAAATTTTTGTCCCAAATCGTTGCTTCTGTGCCTGTTATGGCTTACCTGTCGACACCGTTGCATGAAATGGGGTGCCACTTCTTCTAAAAATAGTGAAATGTCCATTGCGTCCGCACTTTGGCCCAGCTCGTGATTCACCGGGTAGCCAAAGAAAAAGGGGGTGAGCTATTGTGTGGGTCTACGAAAAAAACGGGAGAGCTTCTGTCCGGTGAGCTTTTGTCTGGTCACCATTGGACTTGTGTCTCGGTACTGATGGATGGTTGTTTCTTTTTGGCTTATGTTGGGGTCTTGCGCTACACCTCTGGTTTCCAATAATGTGCCCCAGTTCAAGCATACTTTAATTTTTGCCTAGATTATAATTCACTCTGATGTTCCTTCTGCTTAATTTTGATTGTCGATTTATATCAGCGATTAAACTTAACGAAACTTCAGTATTGTTTACTTTTGTGTACAATTTTCTGAAGATAGCTGACTGTTTACCCCAGCTTTAGGCTGCTGAATCTTTCAAAAACTTTCAGCTTGTTCAGTTGTTTTCAAAGTAATTGTTTGGTACAGTATGGCCTCAGTTGTTTTTATATCAGTAAACCCTGAATTATAATATAAAATAGATGTCAGAATCAAAATTAAAAAATGTGGTCATCGGTGTTTAAAATTATTGTCTAGCTACGCTATCTCCGACTTTCTAGCCAAATATCCTGAGGCACTGGTTCTCGAACAGGGTTCCTAGTACAGTATACTGAGGGTTCTTTCAGCACCTGAACTTCCTCAATCGTTCCTACACCATTGTCATACACTCAATTGCAACAATGCCAAGAGTGGAAGGGGCTCCTCGGCTAACAATAACAATAGTAAATTTTTGTTCGCTGATGTCAGAAAGTTTGAGAGTCCCTGTCACAAAGAATGTTACGTTTGCAGGCTTTTAAAGGGGTTATGAAATAGTCTTCAGACTTCGGCCAAGTAAGTGTGGCAGTATCTCACCATCGCATGTACAATGAAGATCAGAAAACAATTTTTTCCAAGGTGCACTAGTTTTATTTAAAAAATTAAATAGAGTCAAGCTTGGGGGGCCCCTCAACCTTTAGAGTCCTTTCCAGGTCACGTGCGTGTGACATGAATTGGGGGCCAAATGAGTGAATGACAACTTTTATAAAAACCTTAGCTTCAAATTGGGCAGATACCTGCTCAACTCGCAAACTCGACCACTATTGGCGCCAAGCCAGTAGTTCCTGTGGCCACCATAAGCTGCATGATGAAAAATGGACCCTTTTTTTCTTTCTGATTACGCAGTGCACTCGCGACATTTTGAGGGATCACGGTGTGTTTTCTCGTACTTGTGATAAGGTAAAAGAAATAAAAGTAACGAGCTCCAGACTGTTTCCACAGTAAACTTGTTTCATGATCCCTTTAATGCATTGCAAATTGACGAAATGCCTTGTTTTACATTATTTCACAGCAGCAATATTTCACAGTTGCCAATAAACATAGTCATTGGTCCCCGTGCTCAATATATTTAGATGATTAACTTTTTGTTGTTGGTTTCTCTTTGTGAAATTTTCTAAAATTATGTGGACCTGAAGTATAATTTTAAGTAGTATTAAGTAAATATGGAGTCTTAAGGCAAGTTTCTTAATTGTCTATTGTCTTCTCTTTTCAGCTTTTGTTACTGCCAATTCCTTGGAGAAACTCGGAAGTCCGTGAAAGAATACCTGTAAAGGAAGTGCAGCAATGCTTCCTACACTCAAAACAAAGCCTCCAACACACAGAAGAAAACTGCAGAATGAAAAAAAAACTAGCTTTCATTTTTATTTATTTTGTGCATTGGCTTTTTTTTCTCTTAAATTTGATTAGCGATTAATTTAGATTTTATTTAACAAGTGCATTAACTTTTTTCTTTCATTTTACTTCAGTCATGTAGGTGATGTTACTTCAGTCATGGTAGATGATAAATATTGTAGGTTTTATATTAACAGGTGCAATACTATTTTACTCGTTTTTCTTCAGCATGATAGTTTGTAATTATTTTTTTCTTCTAATAAGAGCTTGTTTATAAAGCTTTAAGTGCATCTGTGATATTTGTAAGCCACTAAAAGTATTACGTTTTTGTTCCATCGTAAGTGTTTGTTGTAGGCAACATGTGTTCATTCTATTGAAAACAAATATTTGTTTAATAAAAAGTTCTTACTTTAATTTGTCATCACTTTGAACTCGTCTACATTAAAGCCTGTAACATAATGCATTTCAGTTTCGATAAGTGCAAACCACTGCAATTGCTAAATCAATATAATTTTCTACTTTTCTTATCTGGAATTGGTCAGGAATAAATTGGTGAAATGCTTTAAAAGTTCTATTAAGTGTACCCCCGATTATATTTGAAAGCCTGCTTCCAAGTTTCATCCGGGGTACAATTTATAGTACTAAAGGCCTGCATAAAAGCATACTAAAATTCTGCTGAGAAGTGTACTAGAAGAAGTATCCTAAAACGATGGCGAAATGTTACTTCTGAAGTGGGTAAGAAGTGTACTAAAATGCCTCTTACAGGCATGCTTAGAAGTATCCTAAAAGGATAGCGAGATGTTACTTATGAAGTGCATAAGAAGTATACTAAAATGCCTCTTACAGGTATGCTTAGAAGTGTACTAAAAGTATGGCGAAATGCTACTTTTGAAGTGCGTCAGAAGTATACTAAAAACCGGCCAATTTAGAGCATCAAGCATACTTCTGGAAGTGCAAATAAAGTATACTCTAAGAGCCCTGGTTTTTCGCTAAGGGATAGACAGTTCAAATTCCTCAGTTACCCCGCTATAAGTCCTAGAGTTGTATTCACAGTGCTTGCGTTTGCTCTGGCATCCAACACCCCCCCCCCCCCCATTTTCTCCCACACTAGGTGGCAGAAACACTGGTCTTATTCTGCATGTGGCTGATTATTGAAAGCCTTTTGGCATTTCAATTTAAGTAAATGCACATATTGAAAAGAAGCTTATTGCCTAATCAGGTCTATGAGAAAATTTTGAAGTGTGGGATATATGAAGTTTGCTAGACCTATGGCGGACAATATTTACCCTCCAAATCAAAGCAGCACCAAATGTGTCGGCCATGAACCCATGACAACTTCAGATGAGACTAATGACAAATGCATAAAGCATATGATACTTACAGAACGACCCGATACTATGACCCAGAAAGTTGAACAAGCTTACGTGAACACGCTTACAAAAAGATATCTAAGATGCCAAAGAATCAATGGAAATAAAAATAGGAAGACTTGACTGATCCTGTCTGAAGTCCCAATGTTGGAATCGATAGCATGCATCGATGCTTTCAATCATGCTCTGCGGTGTGGCCACAAAACACACTTGAGTGAAGCTCCCAATCATTATGCTCTTAGGTGGACAAAAGGCTCACCTCAAACAGCTTTCAGCAATAAAAAGAAATGCCAGATACAAACATCACATGGTTTCCCCAAGAATAAAACATATAAACCTCCAACACCTTTAGGGGCTAACGAAACAACCAAGAACGCACAAGGATGAAGCACCTCATCCCAAAGTGAATGGAACGCCAAGGTGCAAAACTGAATGCAAAACACACCGCTCTTCTAAGCAACTAACACTACCTACAATTTTTTGGACACCTTTATGGTAAACCAAGAGCTAGAATATTAATTATAATTAGATGTGGTGCATCGCCTTCAGGATTGCTGGATGATCTGCAACTCTGTGAGCTCTTCAAGATTAAAGTGAGCAGAAATTTTTTACTTGGCCTGAAAATTTCTCATACTGTGTATCTTATTCAGAGTTAAGCAATAACACCGTAGCTATCTATTAACACATTACGCCTAGAAGGTATCACTTACGTAAGACAAGAACGATTCAGACATTACCTATTGTTAGCGCCATTTTGTAAAAGAGACTTGCACAGTCTGCTCACTTTCCATGTGGCGCATCCATGAGTTCTTTCGCCGGGCAGGTGTGCCAGAGGCACATTAAGTCTCTCACACCGGCCTCCATGTCCACATCAAGGCTGTAACATTTCAGAAGTGTGGTCATGTGGCCATGCCCCTCTGCAGATTAACTGCTGTGGTGACATGTAACTCAACAGCGGTGGACTTCTCCTACCAGAACCCCAACATAAAAGGAACGAATTCCCAAGGGCAATGACAGAATGTGCGGAACTTCAACTGACCGGCTGTGGCAGCGAACCCTCTCCAAGTTCCAGCCGCCATTTCAGCAGGGACAACAGGGGGCACAAGCTTTGTCAGTAGCGACGATACCCCCACGAGCCAAAGTCCGTGGCAGCACCTGCGACAAAGAGCCCTCCCATAATCCCTGTCACCACTTCAGCTGGGATAACACGCAGCACAAATGATGGCGGTAGAGCCACCACGAGCCAGAGCTACATGGCAGCACCTGCAGCGGCGAGGCCCCCACGAGTATACCACTCACCATCTTGAATGGGAACACGGGGAGCGCAAGCGTTGGAGGTGACGACAGCGCCACCACCAAAAATGATGTGGCAGCACAAGAACCAGGTTCTAACGACAACGGCCGCTGACATCCGAGTCAACTCGGTGGCTGTCCAACCAAACAGACGTGACGCATACCTGAGAAGGCAAATAATGTTTTGTAGTAACCGAAGTGGCCAAAAAGCTGCCAAGCAAAACTCAACATTCAACTCTAATGATGAGCCACGCTGTTTCGACTATGATCGACATATGTCTGCGAATCGCTCTAAACCGCAGAAGTTTGAAGGCTGCTCAATTTTAATGGACATGGACAATTAATGGACAATTTTTGTGTGCAGGCAACAAACTGCCAACGAAAACAGTGATGAAAGGTCAAGTGAGTTACTCCAATACTGCTAAATAAATAGGACAGCTTACCATCAACTTCTATTCATATCTGCCATTAAGCCTGTACCTCGGCACTGTAGGTGATGTCAGTGGTGTCTTCTCAGGGAAGTCAAACTAGTAGTTCACTGAGCAACTCCTCCTTGACCAGGCCTGCAGCGATTATAAATGTGAAGAACAGATATATTATGTTATATAAATGACACAAGATAGAAAAGGCACAAACAATACCATACATTCCAAGTTTGGGGACACCAAATTCGGGATAATTTCTAAGCAGGGGAGGGAGGGGGGGGGGGGGGGGGTTAGCTGGTGTTGTAAAAAGAAATATTGACAACAAATTTACATGAAGACAACTTCATTACATTTATATATTGCACTGCCTATGCTCATGGGATTGCAGCCGTCCACTTTGATGGCAAAAACTCTTCTCTCAGTACAGAAGAGAGGGGGAGGGTAATTTTTCTTTTCCGGGATGTTTTTCTGTCAATCATACAAACTGATCAAAATTTAAGAGACTTCTGGGTAATACCGGGAACTTGGCAGGTATGCAATACTAAAAAGACAGTTTGCTACCGGCAATGGCAAAAGAAAATGCAGGTTGGATCAGCTATGCATAAAGGTACTTTGAACAACATATACCATATAGAGTGTACTCACGCAAGGCTAGCGAGCGGTGCACTCTGGGTTCATCACCGTATTTGTGTTCGTGAAAGCAGACAGCGGAGCGCGCACAGCCTCACGGGCCACGCTATGCAGCGAGTCTTTCTGCGGTTCAGGTGACACCACGCATGAAAAAGATGTCACTCTTGTGCAACAGTCTGCTGTTGCACAAGGAAAAAAATGAACTAAATAAAAAAAGACGAGGACAGCAGGCGTTGCAGACTCACAGTTTCTGCAAATCCCGAATCCGAAGATGCGTGCAAAATGGTTTGGACACTCCCCTTGAAACGAGAATGACTCACTTGCATCATCGGGCAAAGCCCACACAAAAATCATGACAAGTGGAGAGTATGTGAGCATGTTAGTGAAGTTGGTCAGTGCCTGTCTCTTTTGTGTGGGGCTTGTGAATTTCCACATGGCAGCACCTCGGGCCACGGAAAATTGGCGTCGTGGAGTTGGGGCGACGCCCTGTCATAGAGGTGACTTCGGATGGGGAGACGGAGCGTAGAGTTCCTGAGGAAGCAAGAATCGAGTAATCTGTGTGGGGGACTGCCAACACTTGCGGTGACGCTGCTTTTTTTAATGCGATAGCATTATTTAGCTACTTCACCCGGAGTTTACGATATGGTATCTGGCCTCGTAACAAGAGGAAGAGGTAAATCTGCGCCGAGTGTATGCAAAGCGGCAGTACACACTTTTTCACATGTGCACCCTATTCGAAGGTGGCACAGGATGGATGCGAACTCCACCCGATTGGCTGTGGCGAAGGAGGTTAATCCGCGCCTAACATACATGATGTGGCTTTTGACTTCCATCGTCCACCGCAGGCGATCGACCAGACAACCCGTAGGGGTTTTTCACCATCCAGAAAATGCCTCCGACTAGGACAGAGAAACATAGCTGGGCCGCCAGGCTAGAGCAGCGCTGAGAGCCCAAGAAGAACTGACGCGGGACGGGGCGCTCCTTATCTAGCTGGCAGACGAATAACAGCCAGCCCCTAAATGTGGTGCGTCAACTTGGCGAACGGCGGGTCAAGTGGCGCACAAGGGAGCGGCAGTGTACATTTGCAGCCATCCTACGAAGCGATCACTCAATTTCAAAGCGGCGCACTGACGTCAATGATTGTAGTAAACCATTCATAAGTGTTTACTCAAACTTTGTGTCGTCGTACTCACAATGAGCTATGGCGTCTCACGATGAATGCTATCGCAATTCGACAACCAACAATAGCGGTTTCTGCAGCCTATTTATTTTTTCTATGATGTAGTTTTTAGCCCAGTGCAGGGGACACTGCAATAAAATATCGCTAGCGCTGGTGCGATACCTCGAACGGGATACTTGGCATCTACTTTGAAGGGTTCGACCACTGCTGTGGTTTACAGCAGTCGTGGGCAGTTTTCAACGTCGACTGGTTCATATAGGAGCACGTGGACGATGTGGAATTTTAACCGATTGGTTTGTTCATTAGTCAGAGGGAGAGAGTTGGAAATGTCAAAAAGAGGAACGAGGGAATAAAATAGGGACTTCTCCTGAGGCTCTGGGGGGTTTGAGATGGTCGTTTAAGTTGGGATTCGTGTAACTATGTAAATAAATGTATAGTCGAAGTAAAGCAGTGCAAGTTGGCACATCACTCAGCAACGTGCCCGCCACCAAGCCCCTAATGATCGGGGCTGAACCCTCCTCCACCAACACTGGGAAGAAGAATTATGTTCAGGGCACTTCATGTCGGGGAAGTGTCGGCATCACGGTTGGCTTTTTTTGTTTGGGTCAGGTCTCTCAAGCGTGCGTGTGTGGCCAAGATGTTTCTTGACTACCCAGTCAAAACTGTAGTCATCAAACTAATTTGCTGCAGCATCTGCACAATGCCGAATCAATAAAAAAAAAGAGCCGAGCAAGAGAATGGACAAAGCGTTAGAATTTTCACAGTGGCAGTTAACAGCAACCTTCAAATTGCTGGGAGGCAAAGACACGTGTGATCATAAAGGGCGATTTTTTTCGATGCCGATTTTCCAACATTCCTGCGGTAAAGAACTCCCATTCCAGTCTCTTGACCTTCTCGTTTGTCACAATGGAACTTTGGCTTCGAATAGGTTGAGCCCGCTATAGTGACATATTAAATCAAAATAATGTCGGACAAAAGTCAACCGTGCCGACACTTACCCGAGACGAAGTACATATTAAATCAAAATAATGTCGGACAAAAGTCAATCGTGCTCACACTTACCCGAGACGAAGTGCATACTAAAGCAAAATAATATAGGACAAAAGCCAACCGTGCCGACACTTACTCGAGACGAAGTACCTTGAACATACTCGACTTGCCGAAATCTTCACCAGGGTTTTTTCCGCTGAGGAGATTGTGAATCATTTGCGTTGCCTCCTCACGGAGAGCAACAACGCCTTCTTAGAGCTGTTTGTTCGGACTCCCAAGATTTCTAAAAACCAGGTGTCTGCAAAATCTGCTGTCCTCGGTTTTCTCCTTTCGAGTGCGACATTGTTTTCGTTCGTGACATCATCTGAAAAAAAGAAAAATTTGCATAGTATGGGCCATCTCGTCGAATGTGGCTTGTGCAGCTGTTCATATGCGGCCGCCTGCCATCACGGACACAAATATGGTGATGTACTCGAGAGTGCACGGCTCGCTAGTCGCGCGTGATTTTCATTTCATTCCATTCATTTCGGCTCAGGAGAGACAGGGGTGCGGCATATAGATAGCCCGAAGGCCCATACGAGGTAGCCTGCAACACACAAACTAAAAAAAAAAAAAGAAGGGGGGGGGGGATAGAGGGGTAGATAACCAATCAACTCTAATAACAACAACACTATCCACAGTCGGAAATGGAAGTGAAACGTGAACAGCAGGCCGACAGCCCCCAGCGCCACGCCGAAGCCCGGGGCCCGCCAAGCTAGAGCCGAACACACCCAACTCGAATGTGCTCGATCCCAGCCCGGCGCGCTGCAAGCCCCAGCGGAGCGCCGGCGGTGCCCCGAGAACCGTCGACCGGCCGCCCGAGCACCATTCTGCCCCGACTGTACTATACTTCGTTTCAGCTTCGGTCCGAGCGCGGCCGATGTTACGGGCCGAAGGGCCAATAAAACACAAAAAAAAAAGCGTAGCGTCATGACGTGCTCTCTGCGCGTGATAAGACTAGCCGGCGGAGGAGCACGCACAGAGACGGCGAATACCGGCTGGTTCTATCAACTGCAGAGAGCACGCCATGACGCTGTGCCTCTTTCACTTTTTGATTGGCCCTTCGGCTCATAACATCGGCCGCGCTCGGACCGTAGCTGAAACGAAGTATGTCTAGGACAATATGAGCTGAAACAGCGCTCTTGCCGGCGCACGGTACTACCTGCGCTGCCTGTCGCCTTGCTCCGCACACACGGCGCACCCTGAGGCCGAGATAAATTCTCAGTTGCGCTCAATGCGCCACTGCGCTCTTCCGGCCGTCTGCTAGCCAGACGCCGTGTGCGACAGAGGGCGTGTGTGCGGTAGGGTGGGAGGGGGGGGGGGGGGGCAGAAGATGACCGTTGCCGTCTTTTTTTTTTGCAATTCATTTACTTCATTCTATCGCGTAGAATGAAGTAGAAGAAACGCTGACTGGGGAAGAAAAAATGTTGCGCTATCTTAAATTGCCGCTGCGATTATCGTTTTTCAAAGTCCCATCAAATTACGTTGCAGGTTGTTTTTATGTGATTAGGTGCATCTACAGAGTAGGACATCACAAAATATTAACCAAACTCTTTTTACCGGATTTAGGCCGGCTCCAATGTATTTCCTTCTTGCTCTTTTTTATTGAGCACAACTGTTTAAAAACAACGGTAACAAGACATGTTAATGCGAAGATTTTGTAACCTTGATTGGAATAAAAATGTTAAAGAATATTATCTTAGTATTACCGGGCCCACGTGTTTCTTTCAAACAAGAAAAGTTGACGACAAGACACCAGTGTTTTATTTATAAATTTCTAGTCTTAATAATGTGTGACAAATAGTCATATATTGGTCATGAGAAGTAGCCTGAAACTTCATCGAAAGAATTTTTGCAGAGGACAATGTGAGATACAAAAGATTAATAGTCGGCGTGGAAGTTAAGTATGCGCCGGTGAACGGCATCAAACAGTGTGTCGCAACCGTAGCAGCAAGCTTTGTTCCAATCGGCAGAATTCCGGTTCAGGGGGTCCCGAGGCGCAGTGAAACTTACGGAAGAAATGAATACCACGTCATTCTCCCCTAACCCGCGACCACGGCTCTCATCCTCCCTGCTAAGGAATCCTGGAGCGCGGTCACGAGGTCCGGCTCGGCCCAGAGCCATTCACGTCTAACCGGTTCTCACAATTCGTCAGCAGTGGCGCGGTGGAGGGGACGCTGTGACATGGCTACCTTGATGCGCCTCCAAACGTCTTCAATGATATTCAGATCGGCACCTTTTGGGGGCCAAGGCAGCACCCGTCAGGCAGTGCTCCTCGAGGAGATACGAGCGTGACAACGCATTTTACACTTGTGCGCTTTCTTGAAAGGCACTGAAATGCATGTTAGCTGGAAACACTGGGCTACACGGCACACGCATCATGATGGTGGTTCCATTGGAGAATATTTTCGCTAGCAGACGGCCGGAAGAGCGCAGCGGCGCAGTGAGCGCAAGTGAGAATTTATCTCGGCCTCAGGGAGCGGCGTGTTTACGCAGCGATGCGACAGGCGGCGCAAGTAGTACCGTGTGCACAGGCCGGAGCGCTGTTTCAGCTCATATTGTCCGCGATACTACATATAAAACAAGGATTATGACAGCGAGCGCCATTCACAGCTTCAAGTGGGATATACATCTTAGTTATACTTGTTCACCCGACCCGAATTCCCCCCCCCCCCCCCTCCCCGAAATTACTATTCACAATCCTCACACAAATCGCCAAAAAAAAAAAAATATATATATATATATATATAGCGCAGTAGATGAAACAGCTCCAACCAAAATGTTTTCTTTTTTATGTGTTTCGCTCGCGTCGCTTGAGATCACCCACAATGATAAGACGCGCGGGCCGACAAAGAAACCTGGCGAGTACAGATATGGGTACGCAGCGATGCGTGCCGACGCGAAGTGACGACCTACGTGCGATAAAACGTTTGACAGATCGCTAGGTTGGACATTTGAGAAAAGGTACATGGAAGTGACGTAATGCAAAGGAGGAGCGTATCCTAGCAACACTCACGTGGCGGCTCTGCCCACTTTGACGCCGCTACGTCATCGCAAACTTGACACCCGTCACCCGTTTCAGCGACGTCCGGAGCCAACCACCGACGAGCGGAAGTAGCTACGCATTCCCTGAGGCGTCCCTACGCGCGGGATACGGGGTAGGATTTACTACGACGCGGGGAGCAGTTCCTGCGTTTAGCGAAGGAACGGCAACCAATCCTGTGCGTCGCTGGCCGTCGCATCTGTTCTATTACACGTAAAAGTGTTGAAAAACAATCAAAACCTTTTGGGCGTTGTTAAAACAAACCGCTTTTTTGTACCCTTTTGCAATACATTTAAGAATTAATTGGAGAGAAAATTGTTCCAATATTATGCGGGATGTGCGCTACGCGCCTTCTTCAAACCAAAATGTCGAACCACGAGGAGCCGGGTGTGCCGGGGGCAGCGGAGGGGTCGGCGGAACCAACGGGGAGCGCGCGAGTGACGGCTGCTTTAGTCAGAAACAATTTTTTTTATCTTTCGAGAACTTGCTATTGCTGTGCTCAAATAAGAATATTTGGCGCAACATCTGTGATAATTCTTTCAAAGTGGTCCAGTGTTTATATGGTGGTATGCTAGTCAGAGAATATATATATATATTTTTTTCCTTTCGAAATTTAACTATTGTGCTCAAATAGGAACAGAGTGTTCAACAAGATATCTGTGATATATACTTAAGATTGCCCAATTGCTTACATGGTTCCAGTCGATGCTCAGTTTTACTTCCGAGAATGAAATATTACATTCCATGTTATCACACTTTTATTCATGAAGTCGCAGGTTTTTCTTTAAGAAATAAAGCAATTTTCAAAACAAACTACATGTGCACTGTCTTGAGATAACACAATCACCTAACTTTGATGAAGTACCATAAAAGAGATAATAAAATGGAGCAGAAGGCAAGACGCTTTGAAGCATTTGTAAAATGAAACAATGTCCATGACAACAATATCCCTGGTTCAATCAGCAACTAAGAAAGCAATCTCTGCAAAAGCAAGCATTTCTTTCTAGAGGTAGTCTAAATTACTTCCGAGTTCTTTGCAGGCGCAATCGAGATGACCTGTTGGTCTGGCAACTAAACCTCCGAACCTTTTCTGTCACTGCCGACTGCTTCTCGTGCCTTCTGCTCATAAAAATAAAAAAAAGGCTGTATCGATTTCACCGCGATGCACTCGACACGTGTCCGGAGGCAGCACGCTGGCTGTGCGACGAACTTCACAAGGTGTAGGAGCTGAAGAGAGTATGTAGCTTGTGGACGGCCATGACTGTGGAGCAGGAAGCGAAGTGTGCACTTTACGGCTTCCAAGGGGAGGGCTTCACTGAGGGCAAGAATGTGACGGGGTCCTTGGTGGTCAGGACCTCAGTCGTGGTGGCGAGAGGTTCCCTGTCGCTGGCGGCGTCCGTGCTGGGCACCACCGCAGCGAGGGCGCTGAGGGGCTTCCCGACGGAGTCCCTGGTGGTCGGGACTACCGTCGTGGCGGCGGACCCCTTGCGTGTGGCGCTCCGCACGGGCACGTCTGCGGCGGGTTCCAAACCGGGCGACAAGGCGCTGCCTCAGAGCCTTCCCCCTGTCCGAGAGGCCGACCGGAAGGCCGACCGGAGGGCCGGCAGGAGGCAGCCTCTCGGGAGCCGACGCTGACCTCTCCGAGCTCGGCTCAGAACCGTCCGAGCTCGGCTCAGACTCCAACTCTGACTCTTCAGGGTCGGAGTCTGACTCCGGTTCTGGCTCGCTCGATGCAAGGCAGATGTAGTGGAGCACTGCACATGCCGAAATAATGGCGGTGGCTGTTAAAGGGTGGTAATACAGAGCCCGGTGCCTTTGCAGACACCGGAATCTGTTTTTCAACAGCCCGATGCAGCGCTCCACAACAGACCTGATCGAGGAATGCGCCTTATTAAACCGGCCGCAAGCAATGGAGGTCGCGTGGTTCCCGGGGACAGGGGTGATGAGCCAAGGCTCCAAGGGGTAGCCGCTGTCACCTGCACATGTAGAGGATGGAACATACTACATTCTTTACTTTTTAAAATGAAAGGCAAGAAAACAGCTGTGTGCAACTATGTCAATTATAATGTAACTTAAGTGTGACTTAAAAGTGTGTTAATATTTCTGCACTACAGTATCAGTTTACATTATATTTAATTAGCACCAGCTTGCCTGCAAACTCCCTGTTATTTCATGTAACTATATGTTTTCCTGGTGGGTTGTATGGGATGTGTGCACGATTCCTTAGGGGTGCTGTGTTGTATGCAAGTGCATTATTAGGCCCTTGCATCCGACAGATAAAAGCCCTGTTGCTTTTCGGAGTGTGGCCGTGACCTTAGGCACGGGCAGAGCAGAACACGCTGGCCTTGTCTTTGGCAAGCAAGGGGATAAGGCGCCAGTTCAACGAACCTCTTTCCTAATCCTCGGTGGAGTTGGAGATGGGGAAAAGAGAGGGGGTGGTTAGATTGGAAAGGAGTCAGGTCCTGTTGGGACACGGAGGGTCTAATAGGAGGAGCTATATAGGCAGACCGAAGAAGAAGGGTCAGGGAAAAGAATCCAGTGTGTGGGACAGAGACGACCCGAGGACAGATTTGGCGAGCCCCAAGTGGCCAACGAGGAATTGATCCCATTCCGTACAAACTGACGACCGTCAAAGCGACCAGGCGAGCCCCCAGGTATCAGTGAAAGAGCTCCAACTTCATGCAAAAACCAACCAGCAAGAGGGTACAGGCAGACAGTAACAGTGAGTGGGCCAAACCGGACAGCGACTCGCACTGCGGTCGCATGCCTTGCATAGTCTATCAGTGTCGTGAGATTGGTGTAGTGTGGCTTTCGTAGCCTGCAGAGTGTGAGAGTTATGTGGACATAAACAGAGATTAATGGCCAAACTTTGGGTGTTGTCTCACTTCAAGGAGTTCCAGCAACTGTGTCTGTGTGCCTCACAACAAGCACAGTACGTGTGGTACTGTGGCTTTCAAGCAGTGGGAGCCACCGTGTGCGAAAGGAAAGAATTCAGTATGCTCACCAAGCAGGAACCGGCCGTTGCGTGGCAGCTGCCCTTGCTCGAGTTGGTTTCGGAGCCAGGAAAATTGCCACACGAAGGAGTCGTGCACCGACCCGGGATACCGTGGGTCGATGCACATTATCCGGCAGTCGGCGTCACACACCTGAAAGTGAGAGAGATATTGACATGTAATTACCTGAATCCACAAGTAGTAGATTGTACTTATGGTTCACAAAGCAGTCGCAAATTCAGAACCTTTTAAGTTATTTTGTCTGACACATGCATGTCAACACACTTTCCTGGATGCAAGGTACAACTAACTACGTTGAAACAAAAATAATGTTTTTTTGTTTTGTTTTTGTTTTTTACGGAAGCTTTAACAGACAAGTATTATTTTTGGGAGAAGTGTCTCACGGCTCACATGCTACGTAGAGCACACGCTCGCGCAGTCGTGAGACCCCACAGCCCGCAGTCATAAAACGGCATACTTAAACCGTATCGGCAATACGTCTGTTTTTTTTTTTCTACAGATTTGGGGCGCGTTTTGACAACGTAACATGAGTGTACTTACCACCATCACGTTGAGGGCGTAGAAGTACTTGCGGCACCAGTACGCCGCCTTCGTGACGGCGGGGTCGTTCTTGGACGGGCGGACGATGGAGACCATGGTCCCGTCCACGCAACCGATGACGCCGGGTATCCTGCCGAGCAGCCTGAAGCCCTTCTCCGCGTCGAACCTCTCGCTCGGCGTCTCGGGGAAGTGGATCCAGCCACGCTGGACCCCGAGACGACGCACGATAGCGACGGACACGGCGCGGACCGCAACGCTGACTGTTTTTGGTCCCGCGCTACCTGTTCGTCGCTCGCCACCATGCCTTGGAAGCTCCCCGTGCCGTAGAAGCGCAGTGCACACAACACTTGAAGCTCCACAGTCATGACCGTCCACGAGGTACGCACCCTCCTCACCTCCGGTTCCTCGCGAAGTTCGTCGCACAACCACCGCACCACGATCTTGGGCAGGCGGTATTGCTTCCGAAAGATCTCCTCCGGGAGCTCGAATGCATCGCGGTGTTCCCGATGCAGCCTTTCGGGCGAAAAAGAAAGCTCTATTAAAGAAAAAGTCGAATTGACGAGACGGCGACACCTCGCCGCCGAAAACATGCTCCCAATGACACCTAGTCACCTAGTTCCGAGCAGGTACCTTTTGAAACGTACTCGGTACAAAACGAAACGTCATTTTGTTGTCATGTCCGGTAGCCGACTCCGCCCAGTTTTGCCGACTCCGCCCACATTTTTCTAGGGAAATTACGTCACTTTTGTTTCCAACCAATCAGACGTGATGACGTCACTTCCGTGTACTAAAAAAAGGTACATGTACAATGTCGAACCTAGCTATCCAGGTCGACCGACGTGTTGGGTGACCGAATCATGGCCTCGCGATTAGAACTCGCAACCCCTCGGACGGTTTGACGAAAAGCGCGAGGTGAGGTGCTCGCCAAGGGGAAATACCTGTCAGAATACATTTCTCGAACGCGATTAGGCAAAGGCAGGGCAGGGGAACAAACCAACGAGATGCTGGAACGGAAGCTTAGGACACAGAGAAAAAAGGCTTACTTTCGAGAAGCATTGAGGAATGAGCCAATTGAGCTGTGCCCACAACCTCCGGGGCTGCTCATCCCTGCTCGCGTGGTGCCTCGCCACTTATTAGTCGCAAATTCCATTCTCGGACGCGGCATATCGGATCGATATGAGTTGTACGTAAAAATAAAAGACCCACCAAACCGAAACAAAGCTTCGGCGGCTTTGAAGCAAATGAAGTTCAGGGTGGATTGGATTGGCTCGTGAAATACTTTGCTTCCAGGTGCATAATAAATGCGGAAATAAAAAGTTAATGTGACATTATTAGCAAAACAGTGGCGAAACGAAACAATAAAACGTTTTAACGAACTTAAAAAAACCAAAGCAAATGTATGAAAATAAAATTTTTATATGCGATACAAAACGTCACTTAGCCGCGCAGCTACGGCGGGATTTCAGTTTCGGTTTGGAATCGGAAACTGCGTATTTTCGACACCGATTGAATGTCCAGAGGCGTGAACAATGACGTCACGGACGTAAAAATAACAGCCTTTATTTTGACACCTTAGCTATTTTTACGTCCACAACACGTTTTCTTTGGATGCCGCTGGCTGCATGTGAAATGTCGGTCGCTCGGCGTGTGTGTGGCTGGGTGCTCGGCGGCTTGGCGGTGTCCGCGCTGGTGCGTGTTGTCAACATCGCCGCCTGTACTCGTCGCGTTCTTAGGAACAACACTGAAAAAAAGGCTCTCGACGACAGTGCTAAAAGCGCGAGCTCGTTGCTTTGGATCGCGCGCCATGAGCGCTCCTGCAGCGGGTGCAGTCATGCCAGTCAAGGCTACTTGCTCGCTGCTTGCACGGCCTTTGCAGCTATTGTATGCAAGGGTGATAATCCGCCGTATTGCACACAAGTACAGCTCCAGAAAAATGCGTACAAAATTACTGCTGCTGGGCTCTGTCGCCTCCGGTACAAATGGAGGTGCGTTTATACTCCAACGTAACGTCGACGGGCGCACGCGCCCGACCTCGTTGCGTTACGTTGCTGCAAAGGGAGCGTCTATACTCCGACGACAGTCGAACGTAACGCAACGTAGCGCGCCTCGGCGTCCGTCGGCGAAGGTTTCGCCGAGGTAGGCCCTGCTCGAATCTCGGCGTCGGCTGGCGGCGGTCGTTACCCAGAAACCTTTGCGCGAGCGACGGGTAGGGAGAAATCAAAATGGCGCACGGCGGTAGCCAGATGAGCCAGAGCGGTAGCGAAACGGACTTGCCAACAAGTGATGCCGAGCGTCTCATTGACGCAGTCAGAAGTCGCCCTAGCCTTTACGATCTTGGCTGCATTGATTACCGGGACAAGCTCAGGAAGGAGAACGGATGGGCGTCCGGTGACCACAATCTGCGGCATGAAGAGCGATAAGTTGACACTTTGCATGTCCATGTCTCCTCCGCCTGTAGAACTTGCCGAAATGAATTAAATTATATCTTCGCTTACGCGAGTGAAGTTGTGAGTACGAGAGGTCTGTACGGGCCGATATCTAGAAGCCCGTCTCAGCCCGGCCCGCTGTCTCTTGGGTGCGGACCAGCCCGCGGTCCGCTATATATTTCAGACAGCCGGCCCGGCCCGGCCCGGCCCGGCACTCATTTTCACAGGCCCGCTGAGGCCCGCTTTATTTTGGCCCAGTATGAATAGCCCACGAAATGCGCGGCATGGCAGCTCGCTTGTCGCTGCTACATATATGTTTATTACGGAACCGATAGTCAATGCTCTAAGCATCTTTTATATTATTTTTGCTGCTATTTTTAGTCGGACGACTAAACCCGCGCGGAAAGGACGGAAAACAAAATTGACAAGCAGCAGTAAACAACACCATGTGACAAAGTTTAAAAAGAATGAAAACGTTGCGACGGGTTTGGACAAAAGACGGACAGAGTTTTAAATTGCCCACTCCCAATGCGTACGACTGAAAAAAAAGAAAGAAAAAAGTCCCCGTCTTTTGCGGTGGTTTGCGAGAAATAGTTTAGGAAAAGCACCCCTCGGGGGAATCCCTTCACCCATATTGTGGATGCACGCACTCGTTCATACAGATGGTTTACGACGGCGAGGGTGGGTATTGTGTAGGCGCGTATGTCTGCGTGTTGAGGGGGGGAAGCGATGGTACGGTGGTGGCGGCGCCGGTGACGAAAAGGAACGCCGCCGCTAGTGTTCTGGAAGGGTAATTGCTGCACACACACACCGAACCCTACAAAAACATACACGCACGCACATACACAAGCTTTCAGCATTTGGGCTTCCCGCTCTGTGATCCCTCTTCCCAACCCCGCTTGTCGAAGATGTCGCGCGCATACATCGTACGCCTCCTCCGGCGCTGTATTCGACGCCACAGGAGCACAGCTGCTATTTTCTTTTTTCTTTGTTTGAGCGTCTACGTTCATGTTGACAGCAGACCTAAACAAGAGGAACAAGGACTCGCGGGCTCGCTTCGAACGGCGACAAACCGAGGAACCGGCAATGGTAACGCGATTGCCCTGGTTGCCATGACGACGCGCATGCGTAGCAAGGACGAGCGCGTTGAGGCTCGCTAGACTGCGCCGGAGTATAGACACTGTTGACAATTCCTTCCGCAGCGTGACGCAGCGTGGCGAAGTGGACGACGAACATCGTTTTGCGCCGGCGAACATTAGGTTCGCCGACGTTGGAGTATAAACGCACCTTTAGTCGTAAAAAAGAAATGTAAATATCGCCAAATGTCCCAACAAGACAAAATGTTAAAAAAAAGAAAAGGAGGCCTCCACTGCGGGTCGAACCCACGACCGCGAGCACGTGAGGCAGGCATGTTAACCGCTAAGCCACGCTACAAGTCCAGAAGTCACATTTTGACAGTTCGTTTTTTACGAGACTTTCGGACGGCACTTAAGTGCCTTTTTGACTCCGGGGCCGTTACTGCTACGGGGCCGCCAATTTTTGACTCTGGGGGCCGCAAGGACAGCGCAGCAGAGGTTGGTCGCCCGGTTTCTCCAAGGGGTATGTGCCGTCGGTGCCGAGAACTAGGGAGGCTCAAGTGAGGGTGGCTGCAACTCCTAGATCGGGGATCACGGGGCATGGACGCCATGCAATTGCTAAATTTTGCTGGGAGTCTATGGGGCAAAGGGCCGTTTTCTTTCCTAACTCAGGTCATAAAGGCCCATTAAGGTGCTTGAATAATTTACACAATGTAGAAATGATTACTTTTCTATTGCCACCAGTTCTGTTACGATAGGTTAAGTATTTTTGTAACGCGAAAAATGGTAAATTCCGCCATCTTGGATGTTGCTCCTTGTCTGGCAACCCTGCCTTCTCCTCTCGACGTTTGCAATTCTCGACGCGAGGAGGAAGCGAGAGAGGCTGCGCCAAGGCGTTTGTTGCTGCAATGGGAGGAGATAGGAGGAAAGGCGCGTGGAGCAGCAGAGTTGCAACAGAGCGGGCGACTGCTCTCATGCAGGCAACATTGGAGCATATCCTTTCTCGAATACTCTCCCTCAGGCGCCGTCATTAAACTGCAAACGCTCTCCACGTTTTGAGTGGCGCCCACCCTCACTGGAGCCTCCCTACTGAGAACTGCTCCGATTGCAAACCGAAACTTAAAAGCCTGTCGAATTTGTGCGGTTTTTCAGAAAGTCATAAAATACCTCGAGCGCGCCTTCTATCGTTTTGCAATTTGTTAATTCAGTGTTTCTAAATGATTCTCATCAAGATTCTAATTGAAAACATGCCCATAAACTCAATATTTAAAAGATTAATTACGGGAAAATAATTAACAACTTAATTATCGAGAACTTTGATAATTTTCCTAAGTAGGCCCCTGGCCTAGGACCAAGAAGACACGAGCCTTTTTTCTTTTACGATGCGTTCTTTTCGCAATGTCGAATAGACCCTTCCCGAAATTCAGTCTGGCCACTTTGATCACTATCATCATCTGTGGAACGGCATCTGTGCCATACCCATGGCGGCCTTCTAGTGACTGATAAAGGAAGACGTTGAAGATGTTCCTAAGCGGATCTTGCGAGGCCTGTACGTTCGGGGGGTTAGTACGACGTGACGTAGGAATGGAACACAAGAGCTACGTAAGCGTTTATTTCTGATAGCTCAGATTCAGTCAATCTGTGGGCGGCACACAATCGGCTTTAAAGCACTTTGGTGTATAGAATTTTCTCGAGGCATCTGAGTGGGTTGGAGCTTTGTTCTGAATGCAGGTTCTTGGTCACCATCGAACTGAAAGTGATCGAGAAAAAACTCACACTGGACAATTCCTCGCGTGCCGTTGACTTGCGAAAGTGGTGGTGCCGATACAAGTTCAATTTCCGCCATGAATATGGCAAAACCTAAACTGCTTTACAAACCACCAGATGGCACTGAATTTTGGAAAGGGTCTATTTGTCCACCTTTCGTGAAACATCCTGTATATATGGATATACGGGGTGTTTCAGAGGACTCAGGCCAAATCGCTCCTGCAAAACTACTCATCCCCCCCCCCCCCCCCAAAAAAAAAAAGAGGCTTTTGTCGTTTTGGTTTTGGGCCATGGGCCCATTTAGAAAAATTACTAAAGTCCGGGATAATAAACTTGTTAATTATTTTTGCGTAATTATTTTTTAATGTTGTGTTTAAGGGCATGGTTTCAAGTAGAAAATGGCTCAGCATCGTGGAAAAGCAGTAAATCAACAAATTGCAGAAAGATAGAACGCACGCGCATCATTTTACGGCTTCCTGAAAAACCGCACAAATTCGCCAGATTTTTAAGTTTCGGTTTACTATCGGAGTGCATCTCGGCCCGGGCGGCGCCGCGCCGCGTGGAGAGATAGTGCAACCAGCCCCTGCTGCGTCGCGCGATGACAGAGCAACAGAGGTTGGTTGCATTGCGAATTATTCGTGGTTGCTCTTATAAGCAAGCGCAAGGAGAAAATGCACTCTTTTATTCCCATTGAAATGCGTTACCGGAAGTTAATTTCCGACTGGTCGCTCTCTGCTTCATACGTGGGTAGTGGTTCAATTACATTAATTTAATTACTGTAATTTAATAACTTTCTTTAAGTTGTAACTGTAATTAATTACTTTCGGCCAAACGGAATTGTAATTTAATTATTTTCTAGCGTCAGTAATTACAATTACAATCAGTAATTACAACTACTTTTGCAAGACTTTACGGTT